AATAAAATATTATTCACAATAGATCTATTGTCTTGCGAATGACAAAAAAAAATATCGTATAATCTACCATCTTAATTTAATTATTAAATGAGTTAGTAATCGATTGATTTGAATTTTTCTATATTCATTTAATCATTTCTAGTGGGAGATGAATTTCCTGGATTATTCTTATCATTCTTTTTGTTTTTTTTATTCTTTGTTCAATAAATAATAGGTTGTCTAAATCTTCATTTTGATCCCTCTTCGCAATTCATTATGATCAAACAACAGATGATTAATCCCATAGTGTAAAATATTTTGTAATATATAAGGAAAACAAAAATGACAACGGAAAAGATTTTTTGTTTTTTTCTAAAGAAACATCAATAAAGTAATTCTCTTCATCAATATAGAACAAAATGTAAATCATATAAGGGTGAATCCGTGGGATTTCTATCACAATTTGGAAAAAAAAATTTTTTTTTTTTTCATTTTGATATTCTAGTTAGATGTAACATCGGTTAGAGGTAATAGTAAAAACTTTTTTTGGTACATAAAGTTTTGGAAGTCCAGATCATTTTTTTAGGAACAATTCAATGTATTTGTAATTGGATATGTTGAGGATCTCAACTATGTTACAAAATAATGAAATTTTCAATGTTTGTAGAAATTTTAATTCTAAGCATTTTGATAAAAAAAAATTTGTGAAAAGCTTTTATTTTGTATAAAATAGATTCAAAATATTATAAGTAATGAAGAAAACTAAACAACAATTTATCAAATTTTCGCAAAAAATCGTTTTTTTTTTTGAAAGGTTTTTGGTTTTTCACTGCTCACAGTGTTCTGAATCTATTTCCGACAAAATAACAGCTGTTTAAAAAAATTTTTTTTTCATCAAAATCTACAAACGTTGAAAATTTCATCATTTTGCAACGTAGTTGAGGTTATCAACATATTCAATTACAAATCCATTGAGTTATTCCTAAAAAATAATCTGGATCTTCAAACTTTATGTACTAAAAAACATTTTTACTATTACCTCTAACTAGAATATCAAAATCGAAAAAAAAAAGAACTTTTTCCACCAAAATGGTAGAAACCCCATAGATTTACCCAATATTTTTTTCTTTTGTGAAGCTCACATTTATTTTCGAAGAAAATAATGAGTACAAAGAGGAAAGCGAAATATCTTTCGGTACAGTTTCCTAGCAAAAGAAACATTAATAATAATAGTGCTTAGATCATTTTCTAGAATCTTTCAAAACATTCTATAAATATACGATTCTAACGAGTGTAAATATTGAAGGTTGTGATTAGTAGGATGATAGTGCTATTGACCTAGTAGAGTCAAAAATGATGGATATAGAAAAATATGAACTAATTGAATTCTAAGTTTAAGCAAAACTAAATAGTATATGTCAAAGTTCATCGAAAGAAAAGATTATGCACTCGGAAGCTTACTGAACAATTAAATTAATGTATATAGCAGGCTAACATGACAATTGAATTGACGAAACGAAGAATAAAATGCTATTTGCCGTTTCCTATCATCTATCTTATATATTAGCATTAGGAGAAAAGAAATTATGCATCGAAGATGTATTTAACAATACACATTATAATGATATTAAAAGAATTTAATAAATTTGTTACAATAGTAATTCTAAATGTAAACACTTTCGAAGTGATACAATTTTAAAGAATATGTATTAACTGAAAAAAAAACTGTTATAATTTTGATTAAATTTATTTATCACATTGTTTTGTTTTTTAATAAATTATTTTAACACCTCGAACAATATACTATAAATTTTGTTACAGTTAGTTTTTTTTTTTGAGAGATTCACACATTAGTGCCTCATGAGAACTGCTATGACAAGTTCTTCATAAAAAAAAAATCGTTCTATCGATTAACACTCTTAAGACACTTCTAGTATTCAACAATATTAATCTATAGAAAAGTTTTTTCACATTTATTTATTAATATTGAATGATGAAATGTTCACTCACTTACAAAATTTTTTAATTATTTATTTTTTTTGCTCGGAATAAATGATGTTAAAGAATAGTTGTTATATAAAATAAGACAACAATGGATTTGTTTCAAAACATAATAATAAATAATGTTCACACCATGTCATTTTTTTCATTTGTAAAAAAAGAAACTATATTCATTTCAGCATGACTCAAAGATTCATACGATGATAATAATCTATAAAAATAACAATGTGTGTAAATCGAATTCTCATGAGTGTATATAAGCAACTAGAAAAAAAAATCTTCTAAATAATTCTATAATTATAAAAAAATAATTATGATTTATATAATTTATAAGAGAATGAAATCTAAGTTGTTTTGTTTTCTTTTTTTGCTGATAAATATTTGATTAATAGAAACAATTTTTCACATGTCCGAAATTGGATCTTTTCCGATGCATCATTAATAGATTTCTTTTTTTTGACAACTGACTAGTTACCATGATAGTATAATATTGTCCTCTCATGAAATTTTTGCTTTGATTTAAAGTTACTCATTTATTTATTCTAATTAGGACAGAATCTCTTTTCTTATATTTTATAATTAAGAAAAAGATTCATAGAATTCTAAGTGCATTAATGCATTATTCTATAGATTTACTGTCATAGTATCCGAATAAATGAAGAACAAGAGAGTAGTCCAAATGATAATAATGATATTATTTTGTATGTTTATGAAAAACTTTTCCAATTTCATGGCACAAATTTTCTACTATTCCTAATTGAATTTTACTGTTAAATTCTCTCTAAAATAATTAGTTAATATATTTCTGACGTTTTATTTTTGCAATTGACTTGTACTCGTTCAATTTAAACAATAGATGTTCCTCAAAGTATTAATCTAGCATCTCACAAAGGAAGTTCTCCAGCTGATAAATTGCTTTTGATATGAGACTATATGAGATATGATGCCGTGACCCCGTCAGGAGTACAAAGAAAACTAATTGTCGAATTTCAATTAAACATTTTGTATAGAGAGAAACTTTAATGAGAATAGTTTATTTCTCTATGCAAAGCTTCAAATCAAAATTCATAAATTAGTTTCTCTGATGAATCGTGACAATCATGTTAAAAATATCGTAAAGCGACTGAAGATGCTAAGACGATTTTTAACTCGTTAAACTGTAAATGAAATTCAAAAGACAAAACGTCATTGAGATGAGAATCAACGAGTATAGTTCGATTTTAATCATTACTAAGCGTTGCACACTATACAAAATTTTGAAAAATAACAAAAAAAAGACTTTATCAGCAGAAATTTCGATCTCTTACGCAATAAGCACTATGAGAATAATGTTCAGTAGACTACAAGTAAGAAAAATAACAAAGAATTCATTGAAAATGAGAATTCTTAGCAAAGAACATAAGTGCAATCCACTAATATACACTGTATTGAAGAAATTAAAATAATAGAATAAACCTTTGAAAAAAAAGAGATGTTCATGCTATGGATACGCAATTCCACTGACAAAACTCTTATCCAAGAAGTCATTCATACAGAACGTCCAGATAAAAATGGCAATTTTTAATCCTTATCTTTCATCCAGAGATATGCATCACCCGCCTCATCTTGATGATACCAGTTGTTAGACTCTATATTCTTTCGAAGACTTTTCAACTTTATGTTGTTGCTCTTAGGTAAGCGTTCAGAAATGAAGTTCTGTTCTTTAAGAAATATTACAGAGTAACAAATAGTGTAAAGTGCAGGCGTCAGACACTTATCTAACAGTGGAATACACATCTCTGCTCTCTTCTGTCCAGTTTCATCGTTCTCCTCTATTTCTAAACATCCAAGATAAAAAACAACAGCAACTTTATAGAAAGAGTCTGTTACTTCCAATAGACCACTGCCTTTTGTTTATATAACAGTTCGTCAAATAAATCTATCAAAAATAGAAATGCAACCATATATTCTATAAACAACAAGCAAAAATCTAAACTATTACAAAGTTTTTCGTTTTTAAATATATTTAGTTTTAATGAGCAGACGATAGTAAAAATATAAAATTAAGCTTAATACAAATAATATAAAAAAATTCAACAACATTGATATTATTGCTTGAGAAAACAATAACCTGCCCATGTGAGATAATCTTCAATTATTTCAATATCATATTCATATTCAAGTGATTTTTCAGTACTAGTTCATTTTAGACATATGAGCAAACAGTCGAGAAAATATATTCGTTGAAAAGTACGAGAAACAAAGCGAATGGAAGAAAAAAAGCAAATCAACGACAAAAATTATAAATGACTGCTATAAATAAATGATAATCTATATTTGAAACACATCCGTGTTATGTATAGACACAATCTATAATTTTAACGTTGATGCCTTTTTTTCTCGTTCCATTCTTTCTGTTGGTCGTACTCTTCAACGAATACATCTTCTTTCCTGTTCTCTCATGTCTAAAATGAATTAATACCAAAGTTTTAAAAAAAGCAAGAATTTTACAAAAAGCTAAAACAGCTGAACATATTAAAACTGAACGACAAGTTTTAGAAGCTATTCATCAGATTCGATTTTTAGTATCATTTCATCATGCTTTTCAAAGTGATGCAAAACTTCATCTTGTTATGGGTTAATTCATTTATTCTTATTATTTAGATTATGTCAGTGATGGAGAATTATTTACATATCTTAATAAACGACAGCATTTTAGTGAACAAGATGCTAAAATCTATATTACTGATTTAACATTTTCTCTCGGTGAAGTGCATAAAGTAATATTCAAAGAAGAATAACTATATAAATTAAAATATAAATTCATATATTTTTAGCTTGGTATTATTTATTGAGATATTAAACTTGAGAATATATTACTTAATAGTGAAGGTCATATTGTTTTAGCAGATTTTGGTTTAATTAAAGAATGTCGACAAGATGATGCTGTAAGATTTAACTTTTTTTTGTTTTATGATTTTTCTATTATTAAATATATGTAGGATAAATGAACATATTCATTTTGTGGTACAATTGAATATATGGCGCCAGAAATTGTTAAAAGTGGTGATGCTGAACATGACTTAGTAAGTTTTTCTTTGTAATAATAACGTAATTATTTATATTAATATGAAAATAGACGGTTGATTGGTAAAGTCTTGGTGTTCTTACAATTGAACTTTTAACTGGTGCATCACCATTTACTGTTAATGGTGATCGAAAACACTCAATCAGAAATATCAAAGTAGATTTTTAAGATAAAATATGTGAAGGATAAATTGATTTTGTTTTTCCAGACGAATAGTTAAAAATCAACCATTAATACCAAATTATATATCAAAAATAGCCAAAGATTTTATTCTTAAACTTTTAATGAATAATCTAAAATGTCGTTTAGGTTCAAAAGGATTAGAAGATGTTAAACATCATCCATTTTTTGGATCTGATATTGATTTGGATACTATTGCACAAAAACGTTTTTAAGCACCAATTAAAGCAAAACTTAAAGATGAAATAGATACAAGTAATTTTCCATATGAATTTACTCTGTTACAAATAACAGATTCATCTGGATTGGCACAATCAACTTGAAAGTCTCTTTAGAGTTAGTTAGATCTTTTTTAATTTATTTTCTTTTTATTACTTATCAAATCTTTTTAGGGCTATTTATTCATTTCGCCTACTATCTTCTTTGGTCCAGAGAATGCCGTCAATGAAGATTTATATAATCTTCTTCGTTTTACAAATCACCAACAACCTGATCCATCACAACTTCATTGATTGATTAAAGTTTGTTCGAAGTTTTTTTTCTTTCTAGTCTTTAATCTTATTTTTTATATTTTAGACAAGTTCTTTCTTTCAAAACTATGAATAAATCGATCGTAAAGGTTTTCTTGGTGAGGGCAGTTATTCAATTTGTCGGTTAGTTCGAACAATAGATATTTTTTTTAGTTCTGCTATTAAATAAAAATTTAGACGTTGTCAAAATCGTTGAATACAAGAAGAATTTGCTGTAAAAATAGTTTCACTTCGACAAGAAGTTGATACTAAAAATGAAATTGATCTTTTAAATTTATGTCAAGGTCATGCTAATATTGTTAGATTACATGAAGTTTATTTTAATGAGGTTAGTTTTATTAAAATATTTAAAAAACAAATAGAGATTAAATGAAATATGAAACTACTTTTTTGTATAGTAATCCTTTATTCAATAGAAAATAATCTTGACAATTGAGAATAAACATATGATTAATTCATTGCGCGTGAATTAATCGAATAAACTTCTTATTATTCAAATAAATATATAGAAGTATAATACTTAAGAGAAAATGAGTATATGATTAAATTACTGCTTTTGCTACATAGATAATATCGTATTTACTTTGACAAATTGTCTTATTGATTAATTTTGTATATTAAATAAATTAATTCATGTACTATAATAGAATGAATATTGTTTGTTATTTGTCAAAGGAAGAAAGAGTTTATACTTTAGTTGATATATACGATGATTTTTTTAGTAAAAATATAGAAATTTGAATAATATAATCTTGATTTATCATTTTTATTAAGCTTAATACCTATATCATAATGGAATTATTGATGCGTGGTGAATTTTTCTATCGAATTCGTACACAAACATCACTTTCTGAAAAAGAAGCAAGTCAATTAATGAGAAAACTTGTATCAGTTGTCAATTTCATGCATAGTACTGATTTATGTCATCGAGATCTTAAACCAGAAGTATGAAAATCTTAATTGAATTTTTTTAAAATTCTAAATAAATATTTATCTTTTATAGAATTTACTTTTTTCATCATCTCTTCTCGATGCTGAAATAAAGATAATTGATTTTGGTTTTGGTTTTGCTAAAAAAAGTACTAAACATCAACCGATGACAACACCATGTGGTACACTCTTGTAAGATAATATAAAACTTATTTTAATTATATTTTAAAACGTTTTTGTTTTGTTTTATAAAGATATACAGCATTAGAAGTACATCGTGCTGCAACATCACTTAATCATTATCAATCATCTTCTCTTTCGATATCATCAGTATCATCTTCGTCTTCATCATTATCATCAACAAGTACAACTGTAGCTCTTGTACCTTCTACATTGACAAATACAAGTCCAATTACATATGATTATGATGAGTCATGTGATTTATGGTCACTTGGTGTTATTTTATATACAGTGTTAAGTGGTGAAGTTTCATTTAATTCGATAACAACTCATCGAACAGCTGAAGATATTGTTGAAGATATTACACGTTCGAAATTATCATATGATATACCAGCATGAAAAAATGTTTCACTAGCAGCTAAACATTTTGTTAAAGGTTTGTTTTGATAATTATTATTTAGTTAACTGTCATATGTTAATTGAAAAGATATTTATTTCATTATTTTTTTTATTTATTAGGTTTGTTGACAGTTGATCCATCAAAACGTTTAACAATTAAAGATTTATCAAGAAATACTTGGCTTCGAGGTTCAAGTATTCAAACATCACATGATCTTTTAATGACACCTAGTATACATTGTCAAGCATCTCAATCTCTGATTATATGTAATTTCGAGAAGAAAAAAAGAAAATTAAATGAATAATATTTAATTTTTCTATAAAGGTTCGTGCTGTTAATGTAACAATACATGAATTTCAAAAAGCTGGTCAATTTCAATTATCTTCTGTTACCGATGGACTTCTAGCACGACGTTGTTATACAAAAAAATCGACTGATTCATGTTCATCAACATGAAGTTTGACAACTATATCGACTACAGGTGTTGTATCTACTAATAATGTTCCTTCATCTATATTATCACATACTCGTCGTTTATGTAGAAATGGTGTTTGTCGTGATCGTCATGCTCCATGTCCACCAACAAATGGTATTTCATCTTTATCATCATTTGATTTTAGTGATGAAAGACTTTCACAATTAATAAATCAATATCCATTAACAACGACAATACCACCAAAAAGATATGGAATGACATTAAGATCACGAGCAACTGTTGCTATTAATGGTGTTCAGCATGAACTTGCATCTCCTGTTTTACCTCCACCATTACTTTTTGTACCTTCTTTATCTTTTTCTTCATCTTCCTCTTCAATTATTATAGATATACATTCTTCAACGAATACTAATAGTGAGAAATGTTCATTAAGATCACGCATTCATCATCCATTGGCATCAGTGAATAAGAAAATGAAACGATCCGGTACAATAACTATTGACGATTAGAGTATTTCTCTTTCATTTTCTCTATAAATTACTCGCTTCTATATTTTCCTAATCTTTTTTTTTCTATGTATCAGTTTTTTGTTTTGAAAACATAGAAACGTTTTTTCTTTAATCAATATTATTATCAATATCATTATCATCAGTGCTCGTGTTCATTAATAATTGTTGTTGTGATTTTAGTTAATGAACAATGATTGATTCTTGTATGTAGGTGCGCCATTTTCTCTCTCATTTTGTCAACTATATTTATGCTATTATTTCTTTTTTCTTCATTTCTTTTGCAATAATTGCAATGGGCGACGGATATTGTGAAAGAGATTGTTCATGCAGACATGATGAATTATCAAGTTTGCTTTGATGTTTTTCTAAATAGTTTTCTTGTTAAACACAATAACTCTTAATTATCATAAATAACATTCTCAAGATCTTTAAACTGTCTCATGTTTATTTTCATGCAAAATGGTGAAAAACAGGAAAACGATGATTAATTATTTTTTAAATCATAAAGAGAAGCTAATATGAGATGACTACCAAACCATTTTAGTAATAAAAAGACATGGTTAAAGATAAGTTCATAATAATATTGGCCATCAGATCACATTTAATTGTATATCGAAAAATAATCGTGAAGAAGAAACTTAATTAATGTAACTGAAGCTTAACATCCGAGAGACAAATATGTGAATATATAAAATTTTTAATAAAACGCAACTAACTAACAAACAGATGGAACAGAAAAACTTTGAAAGAAATAAACATTAACGAAAATAAAATTTGAAAAAAATAAAATCTAAACATCATGTTTATTTACACATCGGCGCGACCACCATTTCCAAAAAAATTCAATAAACAATGCCAAAACCACCAGCCACAAACATGACTTCTTAAGCCAATCGTATAGTCCAGGAAAAAACCGTGACACCACAACATTTAAAATAAACCCGGCAATTGTAATCACTGCAGGACTATATGGCTTCCCGAATCCAAGTGCACTCACAAGCGCCATCCCAATTCCCATTAACGAGTATATTGGTATTTTCCAATCGCTTAACTTTACTTCTCAATCTTTCCTCTCTGGCATAAATGAAATGTGATAACTAATACAAATTATCATACAACAGAATATGGACACCAAAAGATAACCGATTGTTGAATTGTATTGAGGACTAAAAGAAATAATTAATGAAATTTTCTCTGATTTTTCAATTGAAGAGTTATTTAGATGATTCAAGAAAAATTTTTAAATTAATTACGAAACTTTTATTTAGATTTTAATAAAACAATTGTTTGGATTTTAATACAGCAATAATTTTGATTTTAATGCATGAATTGTGTCGATTTTTATCATACAATGGGTTATTTAATTTCAATCTGAATTTAAACAGAAAAAGAGCACTTGATTTCAAATTGAAATAAGGGACTAAGGGGACTAAGCGAACTATTCAGTGGGGAAGTGTGTTTCCCCACCTAACACACCTTTTATTTCATCATCGCGGCGTCGAGGCGCGAAGCGCCCCCCGAAGAGCCGTGACCCATGCACCTCTCTGTGTACACCATTATTCCTACCCTTAGTCCGCTTAGTTAGTCCCCTTAGTCCCTCTGTCTTGGTAAAAATGGGGTGTTATTTTTTATTCAAAATTCAATTTGAAATAAAAAAACCCATAGACTCATTTTTATACAAGATTGATTTGGATTTAATAGAAGATGTATTTAGATAATTTAGCAAGTTTTGTTGAATTTATTAATAGAATTGTATTAGTATTTTTTTAAGTATTATTCAGATTATTCCCAGAATATCTCAAATTAACAGTATTATTTTTTGTACTGGATCTTACTATTCATCAGTGTTCGTTCCGATGGTTATTGTAGTAGGTCTTTGTGGTGGTGAATTATTTCGTTGTGATGGTCGAGGAAACCGAGGACATGGCATCCTATAAAAGCAGTTGTATATAGGTGGAAAGAAAATTGAACCTAAGAAGAGTAGCAGCTTAATTTTTATTTATTTATACTGCTGTCAGATATGTCAGCTACTATGACTAGGAAGATAAAATTGCTTCTTTCATTTGTTTCATTGTAGAGGAATTAATGCGATGTCAAGATATAGTTAAAGTTATTTGTTTTTAGCAATTTAGTAAAAAGTATATTTTTTGTCTATAAAAAATAGCAAGTGATAATATTTTAAAACTTCGGAAAAAATAAAAAGGGTTTTTGACTTCACTAATCTGCAGAGTCATAAAGGAGAGGAGGTTTGTGAAGGCTTGATTAATAACGTCTTAGAATGCTGAACATGTGATAAAGTATATTAGCAATACATTGATGATTAAATTGACACAATTAATTATACGTGTAAGTTAATTTTAACGCATTCAATGTTTTTGTATTTTATCCATAACCTTTGGGCATCATAAAACATTCTCGGACTCAAAAAGAAGTTGTCTCTTTTAAATTCTCTCCGCTCGTTATAAAATAATCAACATCTGCTCTTGATTACATTAGTTCTCATTGCCAGAAAATATTTTAGATGAAATTAAGCTGACTAGTTTTACCGAAATCGCTTCAAAGATTTACTTGCAAAATTGGATGAAAAAAAAACAAAAATTTAATTTTAATCGAAAACTGAGTCATTCAAATATTATATGAGCAATTTCGGATGAAAGAGGCTCGATCTGAAGGGCTGTGTTTCCCACAAGTCGTGGCAGATATCTGATGACCTCAGCCAGCCAATGCTACACTGGAGTTTTCCCCACAGGTCGCGGCAGCTTCATCACGGCCTGAAACAATTAATGCTGAAATGAGTCCTGCATAGCCTAAAGATTATGATCTTTGGAGGATTAAATCATCATTGTAAAAATTGTAAACTTATGGAGGGGAAAAAGCTGATTTCTTGATTGTCACTGATTGCCACTGCTAATTATTGGCAATCAACGACAATCAATGGCAATCAGGTAGCAATCAAATGATAATATAGTGGCAGTTGATTGCTATTGAATGCTGTTGATTGTCACTGATTGTCTTGAATGCAATCAGCTTTTTCGCCCTTGAAACTCATTGTAAAACATATGCAAAACTTTCGCTTGCTGAGTCGAATGACAATGTTGGTTGTTTCATCAACTTATATGAGGGCGCATGGAGAATTAATCTCTTTCCAACACTGTTTTTGTCACATCTTTTGAGGTATACATCGATTCAAGCTGAACTTTTCAAAGATGAATGTTTGTATTATTATTTATCGCAGCATTCTTTAATAGTTGTAATACTATGCATAGGTTTCTGTTCAACAAATAGATAAAAAGTCGAAAAACAGTAATCTCTGGCATCAATGAACAACCAAAAACTATAAAATACTGATGAAGTGGGAGAGAAAAAAACGGTGAAAATAAAAATATTTCTTGACTTAGTAATATTAGATTCCGCATCTTCTGCTCCTCTTGTTGTAAGTATTTTCCATCGTATAGTGTTGGACTCCATCAAAATACTATGAAATTCAAAACTTTTGTCCTTCATTTATAGTCTATAATATTGTTCAGGTTTTATTCATTGATGTTCAAATAGGTTTAAAGAAATGTATACCTGAATCTGATATTAGTTTTGAACTGAATCATAGTTTTGTGTACTCAAAAAGTGAGTACACTATAGAATAGTCAGTGTGTCCGTTCGTCCGGTTGGCTGTTTACATGATAACTTTTGACAGCAGAGTCAGATTGCGATGAAACTTTCTACACAGCTTAGTCTTGACAATGTCTCGGTCGAGTTCGAAGATGAGAAGGACCGGCGGATAGACCCTGTCGGGTCCAGAATTTTTGGACCCGGACCCGGACCCGGACTCGGACCCGTTTACAGTTTGCTGGACCCGGACCCGGACCCGGTCGCTTAAATTTTTTGGATCCAAACACAATGACAAGTCAGTTTAGATAGTATAGTCAAGAAGGATTTTGTTGTTTTTTATCTATTTTCTAAATACATTTGATCTCTTCTTTGTATAAAACGAACAAAACTTTAAAAAAATTCAAAATAAATTGTATGGATCAAAGTTTTCTTCAGACCTGGACCCAGTTAAAGCAAAATTTTCAGACCCGGACCCAGTCAAAATAAAATTTTTGGACCCGGACCCGGACCCGCACGGGTCCGGGTCCTACCCGACGGGGTCTAACACCAACTCACACACCCCACCCACAGCCACACACCCACACTTATACCCTTTGTTGACTGAAATATTTTAAGAGTTTTATCTTAAAAGATCAGTACTTCATAAGCAAAAGTGAAACCTTTTTGTAGAGCAGAAAATTCTCAATCTCTTGAACATAAGGGCATCTGCAAAAGACAAAGAAGAGACTATTAATCGATGTTGTCGGACAAATATTTATTTGAAAAAAAAAACAATGAATAAAAGCAATATTTTTCTATACAAGATTAATCTACACTACTGACCAAAACTATCCTCCCCCTCTGATCTAAATCACTATATGAGTTGTATATCTAAAAACAAGTATGCACATAGTTCTCAATGAATGGTGATTATTGACATCACCCTCATCTCGCATCTTCACGTTGCATTATCAGGCACATTTAATATTATATTTTGTGTCTTTTTTTTCTTAGTTATCATTCAAATATCATCATCAACAAATCATCCATTGAGTAATATGGAAGATAACAATCAGATTTTGTTCTCTCTATACAAATTGTTATATTTTAATTATTGTTCGAAATTTTTCTTGAATATTGTTGTCTTGACCGGAAAGTATTGATTATAATACAGAACACAGAATTTTTGTTTTGAGCATCTAACAAACATCAATTAAATGGATGACTTGTCTCTCTTAGTCTTTGATATCGAACGATACTATATTTATTCAAATTTTTGATTATAAAGAAAAGATTAACATGTGATAAATTGCTGATAACATGTTGTTTTTTTTCAAGTACAGATATCTTCGTTGATATAAAAAAATGAAGAAATACATTAGTTCACTTATTATAAATAACTGTCAATGTGAAGC